GGGTCGCTACGTGTACTAGGGCCGCTACATGTACTAGGGTCGCTACGTGTACTAGGGCCGCTACGTGTACTAGGGCCGCTACATGTACTAGGGCCGCTACGTGTACATAGGACGTTACATGTACATAAGACGCGTCTAGCACGGCAGGACCTGCTTGGACTGCCTGGTCTGCTGCTGCCGGAGGAGGACGGCGCGCTGGAAGGCGGCGCCGAAGCAGAACTGACACCAGTGCTCCGGGGTGTCGTTTGAGGGCTGCAAGTGTTTGAAGGGAAGCATTCAGTAAGATAATCTGACTATGTAAATCTTTAAATTATTTTACTTAAAGTAATTAAAATGACCAATTTTATTACAGCTCAGTCAACTTGGGAATTTTATATAATTCAGTCAACTTAGTAACTATTCAAAAATCAGTCCAATTGTTAATTTTCTACAACTCAGTCAGCTGGTTTATTATACAAAATCTGCGAACCTAATTAATCCAGACTATGCCTACAGGATTGTCCACATATGTATCATTAATATGAGCAGCTCACTCCCGCACGCGAGTATTCACGAAATAAATATTATTGAAACCATGAAATAAATTTTACCACGCATAATACTTGTTCTAATGGCCAATTTATTCCCAATAAATTAGGTAGTGGAACGTACTATTTTGAATGGAGGATTTGGTTTGTTTGAGGCCAGTCGGAGCCGCTCGACCTGCCCCCGCGCGGCGCTGAACTGCTCTAAGATGAGCTGCTGCGCCGCCGCGTCAGGGCAGAACCCGGCCGGCGCCACGGCCTTCGTTTTGCGCTGCAATGCACGCTATTTGAGTTATATATTTGTATTATATATAATATTTTTATTATATGTATTACATTCACTTAAATAATATAATGATCTCAGCCATACCATTGGGCAGAGCTTTGCCAGTCGCCGCTTCTACACATCGCAAATTTTTTACAGGTAGTTAGGTCTCAAACCCACAACTCTCAGCTCCAATCTCATCGGTCATATTACTCAATCTCCGTCAATGTAACAGTAATTTTGATCGACGTATACTGCTCAATTGCAGTTAAGAGGTTCGCTGGCAATAGCACGAGTAAAGATCTAACCCTACAGAAATGGGGACACTTGAAGGTAAAAAAGACGAAGATGCAATTACGGCCTTCACAGCGTACTACCAGTATTTGGCAAAAAATAAATCAGTACTCACTGCAGTGAGTGACAGAGAGCGCATTTTCTCGTGCACAAATCAGTTTTCATTGCGGCAATTCTATTTTTTGGTAATCTGCGAATTGGCAATTGACGAAAACGTGAAGTCACGGACAGACGGACATGGAGTCACGGACAGACGGCAATAGCGCCTTTTTCCGTAATTGAAAAAATGCGCTAAAAAGATGGATTAAATAAATAAAATGGATAAAATAATAATACCAAATAATGACTCTTCGACCTAGGAAAAACACTACAATTACTTTCTGGCGCATCAGTTACACAAAACGAGGGTTACCACGCCCCCTACTCACCTTGACGAGGGGAGCCACGCCCCCTACTCACCCTGACGTGGGGAGCCACGCCCCCTACTCACCCTGACGAAGGGAGCCACGCCCCCTACTCACCCTGACGAGGGGAGCCATGCCCCCTACTCACCCTGACGAGGGGAGCCACGCCCCCTACTCACCCTGACGAAGGGAGCCATGCCCACTACTCACCCTGACGAAGGGAGCCACGCCCCCTACTCACCCTGACGAGGGGAGCCACGCCCCCTACTCACCCTGACGAGGGGAGCCACGCCCCCTACTCACCCTGACGAGGGGACCGCCCACTGCCACACCAAGGCACCGCCCACTGCCACACCAAGGCACCGCCCACTGCATCACCAGGAACAATTGCCTAGCAAGGCACCGCCTCCAAATAACATCGCATGCCAGGAATGGATTTCGCGCTTCACGGACCAAATTTTAACATACAAGCATCATATGCATGGTATATAACAAATCTTAGATTAATCAACATCACAAATTACAATAAATCCAGTTATTTACTTCAATTATAGCAACTAATTCAAGAACCAAATTCATAAAAGTGACTAACAGGAAATGCTGCCAGTATCGGCATGATAATTTTGATGTCGACGTAGATATACCGGTAATAGATGTTGATAGCTACCGAAATTTGTGAGATAATGCAAAGACATGTGAAGGCCATTATTTTGATGACGTCATTAATATGAGTTTGATTATATTATATTGATGTGATGTCATCAAAGTTGATGTTACGCACATGATGTTGATGTTACGCTATGCACATGATGTTGATGTTATGCACATGATGTTGATGTTCTGTCTCTTCAAGGCACTGCCCACTGCCACACCAAAGCACCGCCCACTGCCACACCAAAGCACCGCCCACTACCACACCAAAGCACCACCCACTGCCACACCAAGGCACCGCCCACTGCCACACCAAGGCACCACCCACTGACACACCAAGGCACCACCCACTGACACATCAAGGCACTGCCCACTGCCACACCAAAGCACCGCCCAATGCCACACCAAAGCACCGCCCACTGCCACACCAAAGCACCGCCCACTGTCACACAAAGGCACTGCCCACTGCCACACCAAGGCCCCGCCCACTGTCACACAAAGGCACCGCCCACTGCCACACCAAGGTACCGCCCACTGCATCACCAGGAACAATTGCCTAGCAAGGCACCGCCCACTGCCACACCAAGGCACCGCCCACTGCCACACCAAGGTACCGCCCACTGCCACACCAAGGCACCGCCCACTGCCACACCAAGG